TCATGAGTGCACCTGGAAAGTCCAAGTTGTGAAGTACTCTCATGTATGCCAATGGAAGTTAAGTTTGTAAATGTCTAGGCAGATCATGTGTTAACATCAGGAGTTAACCCGTGGTTTCGTACTTTTTTATTTGTGTGCATAGCATGAGCTAGAAGAGTGCTTTTGCTTGGTAAAATTCTGTTTAGATCTCAACTGTAATTTGCAGATGCACAATGCAAGACTGTGACTTGCTTTGAGAACAGAGTATTGTAGCTTTAATATTAAGTGTAAAGATTCCATGTCAAATGATTTAACAGTCTTATGTCTCATATTCTGCCACTTTATGCCAAATGAGTAAGTTTAGGAGAAATTTTTTTTTTAGTTAAGTGCTTTTTTTTGGGAAGTTTTCCAGTAATTGATTTTTATATTTGATTTTAATGTTGAGTGACTGTGTTCTCAACTATAACTTTTCTGTTCCATGCTTTCGTGTGAACTTAAACTTGCTTGCTTGTTTGGTATTTAAGGAATCTTAACAATCAGTCCATATGTAAAAGTATTTTAGTATATTTAATTATCACTGTTACTAGTAACTAAATTTCTGCTTAGTTGTTATGGTTCCTACATATTATAAGAACCTTTGAGCCATAGCAGAAAAAAATAATCTAGTCTTTCTAAAGTAAACATGAGAAAGCTCTTATATTCCTTGTATTTTGTTTGCTTTGGGAGAGACATGAACACTCTGGCAATGAAATTCAATACTCTTAGTTCAGGCCGCTTCAACTTTGAATAAATGTGCACAGGATTTAATGTAGTTGAACCAGTTTATTTTAGACACACACCCACATGGTGCTTGATTGATTTATTTATTCCCCCCAAAAGGTACAGCAAACTAGGCAATGAGTGTAAGCATGAGGTGTGCTTTACAGATGCTCATGTGACAATCCCAGACCAGGGTCTGCGTGTCAGGCTGAGGCAGTCACACAGCTGTTGTGCATCAGGCGCAGCCTGGCTGGTGCGGTGCAGGATGGGGCAGTGCTCCCTGCGCTGATGGGGTGGCTCGGAGGGTGGGCACAGTGGGGAGGCACAACGCTGCGCTAAGATGCTCACTGTGCTTTTGTTAAGTGGTCATGTAGCGAGTCAGCGCAGAGTTAGTGTACTGTAAATCCATGACCTGACTATCCTGCCTGTCCTTAAAAATGTTTTTAATATCCAGGCAGATAATTTGAAAGGGAGAGGTTATTTGTCCTAAAACCGAGCTAGTAGAGTAATTCTAGCTGGAATAGGTGTGGGCTACTTCTGTATTGGTACAGCAGAGCTATATGTCTCTGTCCTTTTTAAGCCACATGAGCAAAGCAAGCTTTAATAGCTGAAGAAGTCTGTAGCGCTCGCCACATATCAAGGTGCCGCGATTAGATCACTGGTCAGCCCCAGACCAGGGAAAGAGACAGATAACACACACAGTGTGAGCGCCAACTTCCGCCTTTTATTGCGCAGTCAATTCCTTTTATACTAACAAGGGTAGGCGCGATTACAGACACATCATAAGGCTGTGACTAACCCTCTAACTTTCCGTGACATCGCGAGATCTTCCGAACGCCGAACCCTACGGAAGTCTTCCAGGAAGGATGCAAATGTAGCATTGGAGAAATGAACAGTTTGTGTTTATATTTTTCTATAAATGTAGTGCAAGACTGACACATAGATAAGGTGCTTTTCCTCCTGGGATATAGTTCGTATTGTTGGTCTTTAAGGCACACCCTGTCAAAAACATTCTGAAAGGATCAGAACAACTAGCTGTATTTATATAAGTAACCACACAAAGCTGCATGTGGAATTTTCATTGAGTGAGAATGGATAGATCATACAGTAGAGGTGGCCCAAAAAGATCTATGGCGTAAAGCTCTCTTTCCCCCATTCTTCTAACAAATATACAAAAAGTACTATGCAGTGTCCATTTCTACAGGGATGAATAAGCACAAGATTTCTGTGGTAGGTGCCCCATATTCTAATCCTTTGCATACTTTGGAGATTATCACATACACCCTTAACAAAAATTCTTCTGCTCTTTCAAAGTAGAACTGTTAAAGTCTTACATGTAAGAAAACACTGTGCACTGGAATTTTTTTCCTGGCATTGTTCCTAAAGGGCATAGCATAAGCTCTGTGCTTCAGCAGTTGTTCTCAAGATGGCTGGTGTCCTAGCCAGCAGATATGGCTTTGGTTCTGAAGCTGACTTACACTGGAAGAAGTCCCCAAACAGGGCTTGCTTGAAGGTCAATACATGCCACAAACATTGGGAGAGAGGTGTGTGGGATACTGGAGGGGAAGGTCAGCTTTTCCTTTTTCATGGTAGCTAGCCACTAGGTGGGCTTAACTGTAATATCAGACTGCACCCAAATTTTGACACCAGCAGAGGTTCAGTTTTTAACTTTATATGAATTGACTTATTTGACAAATATCTATATGTGGACTTTCTCTAAGGCTCAATAGACGTCTGTAAGAAGAGTTAATTTCTTAGGTAGGTTACGTGTTACGCCATTATATTTGACATTTTTGACTTAACGTAGTAGAAACATTGGGATCTGTATAGCGTTTGCAGTAAGGCATTTGAATCATACTTGCTACTCTCGGTGCTTTTGTAATGTCTTTAGATATGCCAGGGTAAATGCTGACTCAGGAGAATTGCTAATTCTCCAATTCATTGATTTCACTTATTTGTAGTATTCTTCTCTTACTCCAAGCTACTACATTTTTACTGGCCTGATGCATGTGTTTGTTGATAGCCTTGTGTGTTTCCTTATTTCTGCAACAGTTAGCTTGCTTAGGGTTCTCCTTGCAGTCTTGCTCTGAATTGTAGTGCTATATGGCAAAGAATACTTGTTACTACTTAAAATACTTAGTAGCATTTGGTGCTCAGTGTAGCTTTATTGAATACACGTTTTGCTTTCCTATTGGAGCTGTGCTGTAGCTTCATACCTATTGCTGTTCACTGGAGTGTAAAGAGAAGGGGGATTTGTGTTTTGGCATGTGTTTTTGTTGTTTGTTTGTTTGTTTTTTGTTAGTTTGTTTTTAAGCATAATCTTAATTCCCCTTTGCAAGGTTTCTCCAAGGAAATAGTCAACTTCATACAGAGTTGATGTAATCTCTCAAGTTGATACAATGCTGGAGGAGAGCAACTTGTCTCTAGGTTTTAACAGGATCTTCCAAGATGAAGTAATCATTTGGAGGAGAGGGGAATTTTTTGGCCATGAGTTACAGCTGATGTTTGCCTCTGATTTAAGGACTGTTATTTACTGTTTTCTATGTGTAAAACAGTTTGAACCCTCACACCCCATTTGTGATGCTATGTAATTTTTTTCTTTTTAATTATCTTCTACTTAAATTTAGTTTTAGAAAACCTGCAGATTTGGTTTGTAAGCAAACTGACAAGTGAATGAAAAATTTTGAACTGTTACAGCCTGATTCTCCAACCATGTCTGTACACATCTGCTTGTGCTTGGTCCTTTTGTGGGGAAAACTGTACAGAAGTAGAATTTCCCCTGTCTGATTTGCTGGTATATAACTGTGATTCTTGCTTTGGGGCTAAAATAACTCGAGTTCCTATCCAGGAAAAAATGATGTCGACTTAATGCAGCTCTAGAAAGGCCCAGCCGGTGAACTTCCAGGATCTGTATCTTTGGCTTTGACACTAGGGATAGCAGGTTAGGTACAACTGAACCTCTAGGCAGCAAGCGTAATAACTTAGAGCTAGTTGGGACCCCATGATATTTCTAGAGAGTAGTGTATATCAGATATCATGTCTGGATGTAAAGTTTTTTTCTAGCATGCTGTAAAATTTGAGAAGCTTCTGAAGTCCTGAATCAACTCTTACAGGCCTGATACTCTGTCTTAAAGATGCATGCCTGATAATTACAAGAAACAACCGATAGTAAGTTAAATACATACATATATTTGTCGTTCAGGTCTCCTGTGCATGTTTAAAAATCTGTACGTAATCAGCTACCGTGTGCCTATAGGGTAGAAATTTATGTTTTTCAAACCCTTCATAAATATTGTCAGAGAAAGAAGAGGAGGACTTGAATTTCCTTAATTCAGAAGTGTATTATTTAAGATTTCTGCAAGGAATTGCATTTAAAAAAAAACCACAGTTGATTTTAGAAAATTCATAGAGGACATTGGTTTGTGTATACCATCTTGTGATAAAGGCATTCACTTGCAGTGTAGCCTGAAAAGGATAGTACCTCCTGTTAGCCTATGTCTAATTAGCGTAGAGAAGGAAAAAAAAGGGGGGGGACACCTTTTGGTAATTCAGTAATTTGGAAAAGTAATTAATTGAATAAGCAGTATAGTATGGAATACACCCATTGTTCGTATACTTCAATGTCCTATTAGAGGTCTCCAGGTACTGTACCTAGAGTGGGCTCATTTGTGTGTTGTTTACCTCACGCTCAGCATGAAGGGATGCTGCAGTGAAAGGTGAACTTTAGTGTAATACATAATTTTTGCAGTGACATTGAAATTTTGGCTCTGTAAGGAATATGTATTAAGAACAATGATAGTAAGGAAGAATCTTTAATGTATTCCATTTAACAGGTATATGTTCTCCAAAGTCAGGGTGTTGATTCAGCTCAAATTTTATAAAAGTATTACTCTTTTCTTTCATCTTGCATCTTTCTTGCACTGTTCTTCGTAAGAAATAGTGCTTCAGTTTTCCTTTCTAGTGTGCTTGTAGTACTGTGCACCACTAATACGTAAGGGTTTTCCACATAGGTGACAAATCCTTCTTTTTGGATGAAGGCAATTCTTCCCTTCTTGCCCCTGCTAAAATGCACAGCCTTTTTTTTTTTTTTTTTTCCCCAAAGGGCCAATTGCTTTGTTACAGGAGGGCCCAGATATGCTTTAGTGGATTTGATAAACTTCAATTTGTAAGGTCACCCCCCCCCCCCAACTCATTACTGTTTGGTTTACTTTACTGTATTTCTCCTTATTTTGTGATCATCAGAGTTTCTTTTCACCTTTCAGAAAACAGGGCAGTACTTGAAGGCTTGACAAATGCATCCCAGGTTGAAAAACTGCTGCGTTCCTCCTCCTCTTCCTCCTTTAGAAAATTGACTTATTTAAAGAGGTAAAGTTGAATGTTGCGCTTTCTGTAGAAAATGTTTTTTTCTTCCAGGCAAAGTGAACTAAATCTCAACTTCTGTAGCATGTCCTGTGGCGTTTTAAATTAACTTATATCCATGTCTCATTCTGATGACTGATACCTGTTTCCCTATCTGTTGAAAAGGATGTCTTTGGAAACCTTTGTATAATTAAAAAAAAAAACAAACAACCAAAGGCTTTGAAGCTGATGGGTATTTGTAGTTTTTAGGAAAAATGTGGTGAAGATGTATGACAGTGTGTGACAGCTTTGTTGCATATAATTGTTATATAGCAATAGCAACTTCTTAAAAAAACCCAAACAAAAAAACCCCACCAAAGTATCTCTTAAAATATAGTGTCCCTTCACAGATTTTCTGTTTCTTGTTTCTGTTCAGGCAGCTGTTAACCTGCAGGTCCTGTCAAAAATAAACTTTTGATGAAACCTTAACTAGGAATTGCTGTATTCCTGTGTCTAGTATGGCTTCAAAGAGCTCTTACATTTTACTGTCTACTCAATTTATCCCTTTTCAGGTCACTATTCTTAGGTTTTCATCTCTAGTATTAGGCTACAGCTTCATTTCACTTCATCAAGTTAAAATTTTCTTGGACCTTAATGACTTCCAAGTATTGCCAACCTCTATTGAGATCCCCCAGAAAGACAAAATGACCCTTGTTGCTTAGACCTATTTAAACATCAAGGAAAGGTGTCTAATGATGCCTTGCATTTTAACCATTCTTCCTGTTGCCTTGAGAATTAAATTTATGAGAATTCAGAAGATGTTAGACTATGAATGTTATACATAAAATGGAAAAAAATAACAACAGTTGTCCTTGCAAATTTTCTTTTTTTTGTTTTGTTTTGTTTCTGAAAATTCCAACATACTTCTAGAAGAGCTAAATCTTGGTGTTTGAATGAGAAGCCTCAAAATTCTTTAAGAACAAGGTTGAAGGAGTAAAGTTCTGCTATTAGGATTTCTAATAACTGGTTTTATGAAACTGCTTTAGTTTGAGCTGTATCTAAAAGTGTCATTACGATGTCTCACATGATTTATTCCATGATGCTCTTTACTTTGCTCCACCTGTCTTTTCTTTGTACTATATTCGGTAAGGGAGCAAGAATGGGGTGATGTGTTTGTCTTAAATAATGTACATTTTGGCCTGAAGCACTGAATCCTTCTTTTTCCTTCTCCTTCATTAATGGGCAGTACTTTTGACTAAAAGTCTGAAGAGAACAGTTTAATCATTGTTAGAAAATGGGACCAGTTGTCCAAAATGCAACTTTTCCTATTTTTGATATTATATAATTCTATGGAAATATGTTAACAGCTTTTCACTGGGTAGGAAAAAATAAGTTTTGCTGCCAGAACTCCTATTAAATTTCTTTTTTCCTTTCTCTTCTAAAGGTAAGAGAGAAGCAAAAGTAGTAAGAAAATGCTGGGATCAGAACGAGGTGTCGTGGAAGAATGGCTGTCAGAATTCAAGGTGAGCTGAGAAGATGAATGATAGCTATACCATTGGCTTTATGCCACACAACATTGATTTTTTTTTTTTCCAAATATCCAATAATTAACATTTTAAATATCTATTACTTAATCTTTCAACTACTTACAATGCATAAAGCATGCAAAGATCTATGTGAATGGGTCAGCTAGTACATAATATACAATGCATAGTTCTAATAGTAGTTTATTATTGTAGAGCAGAACACTGCTATAGCAATGTGTTTTTTTTTTAAAGTATATATTTCTGTGTAGATCAAGCCGATAGAATTTAACTAACAGCTGGATAACACTGCCCAAATTTCTAATTAATCAACTTCTATATTTTTAAAAAATTAGTAGAGATGTTTAGAGTTTAAAAAAATATTAAAGAAAAATGTTTGGCTGGTTTTTTTCCCTATGGTCTGCATAAAAATAACTGTTTTCTCTTGAAGAATCTGAAGTATTTTAAAGCTATTTTACATGTTGATAATGATGCTGAGTGAAATACAGGATAATGCATAAACAAGAAAACTGGATTTCATGATTGCTATGAATGAAATTAATCTGTTATATAAATTAAGAATTAGTAATTTCTCACATTGCTGACGATACACACTAAGTCATTACATGCTGTTGTTGGAAACTTGTTGAGTGGCCAAGGATGCAAAATCCACAGATGTGGGTGCTTGGTGGGACTCCAGTCTGTCCACGCTCATTCTAGATTATCCACACATTTTACGTAATTTGAGTTGATTTGATAAAGACTTTGAAAAGTGCCTGTTAAATACAGACTATCAAGAAAGAGAGTCCTCATATCAAGCTGGAGCAAATGATTTTATGAAAAATAAATCTGAAACTGCTTTTAGATTTAACCATGAAAGTTGATATGTGCCCCTAAATGCTATTCATGTGGAGAAGGACTTGTACTGAATGAACTAGGTTACGAGTCTGGAAATTTTCTGAACTTCAGGAACTTTTCTTGATGTTGGGATAAGACTGAATTCTTCTGTGGAGATCTTTAATACTTGGAAGCATTGATTTATCAGGGTACCACTTTTTTTTCTTTTTTTTTTCTTTAGGCATTACCTGAAACACAAATTTCCAGCTATGCAGCTACATTGCACCGAAAAAAACCACTGGTACCAGCTCTTTATAAGGTCATTCAAGACCCAAATAATGAGGTAGGAGACTTCAAAAAAGATTATTGTTTACATTCCTATATCTTCCACCTCTACAACTAAAACTAGAGTAACTGAGATGTGGAGATGGAGAGGAAGATTCTTCTTTTTAATTTGACCTAATGTGGGTATCATTCCTCTTTTTACTTTCATGTTTTTTTGACAGTTACTTTAATGCCTTTCTGATAAGACATAACCTCGTCTGCTCCCAAAGATACAGTTTATGCTGTCTGCTAGATTTTACTTGCCACAGCTGACTGTTACACTTGATTTGGCATGAGGCAGGGTTTTTTTGTTGTTGGTTTTTTTCCTCCCAGAAAACACCTTTCAGTTGTAACAGAGAAAAAGTAGGCCTAACAGTGAAACCCAATATGACCAACGTGCTTCTCACCTAGTGGCTTATTACAGTGGAAGATGGAATCAATTTATTAAGTCCTGTTAAAATAACCAGATCTTCTTTTGCTCATACTAGTATCATGTTTGTGTTATTTGGTTTACACTGCTGTAAACAAGAACAGAACCAGGACCCCAAAATATAAATATACACAATGAAAACTTAGCTTACCCTTGTACATAATACATTTTGCAAATGACGTTAAACTGAGCTTTCTATTCCACTGGCTTCTGCTATGCACATTTCTGGGAAAGTATGTGAAATACAACTTCTGAATAAATTGTGCAAGCATACCATTCTCTGCTGTGTAAACTATTTTAGATAAAATGCTTCAAAATATTTGATTTATCATCTGTGATCTCTTGTATATGTATAAATTAAATGGCAAGTGTATACAGCAGGGAAGTTCTTTATTTGCCTAAGCACAGCTCAGCTGCTTTTGGAAGCTGAATGCTTGACTGAGCTTAAAGGAGATTGCATAATGCTCATGCAATAAAAAAAAAAAAAGCTTCATAGCTGTCAACTTCATTTCAGTGTTACAAATAACTTGTATAGTGACCTTTTTCTTTGTACTGAAGCTACAGTTATTTTCTCTTCAACCTGAAGCCACCATTGCTGTTGTTGTCTTTTAGTATGTATGTATTCGTGTGTGTGTATACTTCTGAAAATGTAAAAGCTTTCCTTTGCTTTGAGAATAAGCATTTCATTTATTTTTTTTTTTATATGATGCAAAGAACCAGATTTGCAAAAAGACTATCTTCTTAAGGGTGTGACAGTAATCTTACGTTATTGCCTACTGATGCTTGTCAAATACTACTCTTTGGAATTGCTGTTACTGTTTGGGCCTGATTCTGGTATCAGGTATAAGATAAGTAATGCCAGACTCAGAGATGACTAACTTCAGGTTCTGCTTGTTAAGGCAGTATTTCCTTGTTGCACTTCTTCCAAACTTATTTGCGTGTGAGGAGTATAACCACAGTTAATTAATTACTTTGCATAATTCTGTGGTAATATTTGGCTCTAAGTGAATTTTTTTTTTAAATTTGCCTTATAGGACGTTATTTGCTAGAAGGATAACTGTTTGCTTATGAAGATAAAACTTATGTGGTAGACTATTATAAAATGTACTTGCTGGATCTTAAACTTGATGGACAAGTGGTTTTTTTAGTACAACTGATAAAGTTGACCTAAAACTTCCTGAAAGGGACGAACTGTTTAGGGCAAACGTGAATTTTTCTAGAATCCCATAATTCTATCGTGGTAAGACCAGGATTAATAATTTAACATAGAACCAGCATGTTTAGGAACCAAAACAACCAACCAAGGTGCTTCTCTTTTTTTGACAGCTGTCTGACAATTTGAGAGCTATCAAATGAAGGCAAGCATAATGTCAAGTTAAATACAACTGTTACTATTTTCCTTTTAGGAAATTCCCTGACTTTTTTTAATATGGAGAAGATAATGACTGGAACAGAAAGTTACATAAAGACTAGAGAGTGATCTTGCTCATAAACAGCTTATTTGACTAAATAATTTATTGATTTTTGCATAATATTTGAATTTTAAAATAAAGTGCTTTTGAAGTATTGTATTTTTAGATAGTTTTATAATTTTTGGAGTTGGTTTATGGCGGTAGACATAAATACTCTACGGATTTTAAGTTAATGCTGTACTGAAATTTAAACATTGAATATTCATGTGGGGCTATTTAGGTTTAACTTGGAAAGCTCAGCCTTGAAACAAAATGAGATCACCTTTGCAATGCCAAGCACTTCCCAGACCCAGTACTCGTCAAATAATAACTCATTTCACCCATTATGTTATAGTTGAGCCTAAAATGAGCACATTCTTTTCTACCATGATTGAATTCTTCAACAAGGCAAGCATTTCCAATCTTTGTCACGCATTTTATAATGTATTATATTTAACTTCAAGGTATGGCTCTTAAGATATGGCAAACTTGTAAAATAAGCCAAACTAAAGCTATTCATCAGCTTCCTTAACATGTGACTAGTCTGCACCTCTGTGAGGTGTAACAATGAAGTCTGCAAATTATATCATTGTCACTTACTGTATATTTAAGCCAGTAAAAATTTCATTTGTAATTGTTTGTTATGCTAATTGCTGTTTATGCTAGTAGAAAAGCTCTTTTAATATAAGTTTTTAGTTTGTCAGAGAAGAGATATGGTTATAAGAGACTTTTTACTTTGGATTTTTTGGCTGACTGCTGTGCTACGCAGTTTCCTTTGACTTTGGACTGAAAGATCTTTGGAATTAAAAAAGCGTGTGCCAGTCACGTATACACCCACTACTAGTGACAAAAGCTCCATTTCCTCTGTTTGTCCAGTGTCTTCTCAGTATTTATATTCAGAGAATTAATTGGAAGAGGCTGGTTCTCTGAAAAGCCAGACAGCTAGGATGCAGGGAAAACATTTGTTCTTTCTTACAGCATCAAGTTTTGACTTTCCAGGTGGGAGACAATCATACTATACTTTGATAGGAAAAACTTGGGTGTTCGTGCCTTTGAAAATCATTTGTGTTATAGTGTCTTTGTGATGGCAGCTTATTCTTGTGGACTTAAAGCTCTGAACACACCAAAAGTGCTATAGTAGTTGCTATAAACAACCTTCAGGTTTTCACCTAATTAATTTGCAGTTGTTAAACCTTTTGCACAACTAATATGACAACTACTAGAAACGAGTATTTACATGCTTGCAGCACCAGTGACTGGATATTGCTTGTCTCTTTCTAGGGAGCATGGTTTCACTTAAAAGACTAATTTTATAAAATTTTAATTTGAAGGAAAGTAGAATAAACTCAGTAACTGCTCTGGTTGAGTCTCATCTGACTTTAGCTAAAGTAAATAATTCTTTTCCACTGTTTTTAATGGGACTTGCATTAGACTGGCTAATTTCAAATAGGAAACAGTTTTGGGCTGCTGTCATCTGTAATCTAACAGAAGTACTATTTATAGCTATGCTGCTGTATGTGTCTGTTTTCTGATAATATTTGTTTAGCTTTTCTTGCACCTGTTATCTCCTTGCAGATGTGCTTGTATTTATTTTTTTCCAGAGATTTCTTCTTTTTCTTCTTTACTCTAGCTTCTTGCTCATATTTTATTTTCAAAAAAACCTACAAATTTATTCAGTGATCTCTGAATTACTTATTAACCACTTTTTTTTTATTTGAACATCTGAAATGTGCTAGGGCTTTCATAAAACAAGGATACAGTTCTGTCTCTGAGGATTTGAACATTTACTGTAACAGATGATTTTAATAATTAGCATCACTTTTAGATAGGAGTTTCTACTAAGTAAATATTAATTAAGAAGGAATGTATTTATGTATCTTTTGAACATAAAGTGCTATGTATGTATGAAATACTGTAATAAATACGCTAGATAAAATAATACATGCTCAACTTGATAGAGAAAGCCCTAGCATTGTTTTATTAAAGTGATTGCAATAGAAGCTTTATGGGCTTCTAATTTCATTTGTATCCCAAAACAAATATTAAGTGGTGAGGTGTTTTACATATATGGCTTGTAAAAAATCTGTGTGCTCCAAATGACTGGACTTCTCTCATTCCTCATCAACGTTGTCAGTGGCGGCTTTCTTCCCTCCCTCTCTCGTGGAGTCTCTCTCTGCTTGTGTTGTAAAAACAGGCTTTTAGCTTAGAGTAACTAGGCTGTCAATCAGAAGCCTTGTTATACAAGTTACTTATATCAGAGCCTTGTATAAGAAGAGATTTATCTGATAGCAAAGTTTTATTTTATGTAGATGTCACATTATGGCTTATGTAATCAGTGGTTTAAAAACGGTATGCTTCATTGACCAGAATACGCTGTGTTAGAAATGAAACTAATGTGTTCACCTTTTCTTGGGTGATTATCTCTCAAGGCAGCTATCTTGATAGAAAATTCTGTCAAATTTATGTTTTGTGTTTGTGATATACCAGAGTAAAATATCCAATTCTAACTGTGTGTATGTGAGGTTGTACAGATTTATGGCACTGCGCATTTATCAAACATTCAAACTAATCACTTGTAGAAATGTCTGTCCCTCTGCTGGTAGCAAGGGACTGTTTCAAAGCTTTTTAAGAGGCTGGATGGTTCACAACAAACCACAGAAGTACATCTTGATACAGCATAGCAAAAGAGTGATGGTGAATTCTATAGGAAATTCTGGGTACTAAGATTTTGATGAATGGACAAATTAATGAAAGAAGAATGCATCAAAGTCTGTGAAAGGTACTGCTAATGCTCTGCAAGTCCTAAGCTGCATATACCTGGGAGTGGGAGTGTGTACTGAAAGAGTAGTCATATATTCCTTATCTGATCTTCTGCTCTGGGTATTTCTTATTTATGCCTTTTTGTCTCACCAGTACAGCTGCTATTGTGTTGGTCAAATGTAGGGTTTCTATTGCTCTAAAAAAAAAATGGTACGTAGAATTTAATGTTTAATATTATCGTGTATGTATATGAGAGCTGCATAAAGCATGTACAGATAGAAAGAAGATTTATTTGAGATTCTGGCCTGTATTTTCTGACTCTAACTCTTCTATATGAATATAGGCGCTTTAGGTTACATGGATGCTTCCATCTTTTTGGACTTAAATCCTATGAGTATTTTCCTTAGGTCAGATCATCCTATTTCTTAGAATGTAATACTAGATACTGGTCATAGACCTTATCAAAATTCCTCTCAGAGTTGGGTGGTTTTTTTTTTTTTTGGTAGTTTTTGACTTTGGTATTAAAAACTTGATTAGTCATGGGAAAGAGGGAGACAGTTTGACGTGTTGTTTTTTGTTGTTGTTTCCCCTGTTGATTAACAGTTCTGTGGATGCATCTTAACTATTGGTTTGGCATTGTAGACTCTTAAAATGGCAGGGTTTTTCTTGTGCTTATCACTGGCTTGATAAGAGCCTTTTTTGATTCTTGTACTGAAACCTGAAGGGCAGCTCAAGATGGAAAAATCAGTTTGCATTGTAACAAACAAATGCACACTTGTTGGGTTTGAGACTAAAAAGCTGTAGGTAAGAAATTAATTCATGTTTTTGTCAATAGACTTGTTGTTAGCAGCTAATCTTTAACCTTTCTACTTTTATAAACCTTATAACTGCACCATTAAAGTTTTATGGTGCACGTAGTCCAAGCGAGGTGTCTGTCGCAGGCCTTAAATTAGTACCTGTATGCAAAATAAATCTCATACTGACAGCCCTAGAGAATAATGTTCTCAAAGCACAAGATGGTAGTGGCTGTAGTAAGTCCATATTTCCTAATACAGCATACCAGTGCCCCTCAGGTCTGTCCTTACAGATCTCGTTAAAAGGAATGCAGATATTATTTTGGTTTATTCAGTTATTTGCCATCAAGTAATGTCATTGTTACTGGCTGCAGTGGCTATATACTATAGCCCCTATATTTGCTATTTCATTCTCCCTTATTAGAGAAGCCTAACAGTAATTCATTAGCCTTTTTGCCTTTCCACAGCTCCTGGAGCCTGTTTGCCACCAGCTCTTCGAACTTTATCGTAGTTCTGAAGTTCGGCTCAAGAGATTCACACTGCAATTTCTGCCAGAGTTGATCTGGGTATATCTGCGTCTTACTGCCAGCAGGGATAGGCAGAGTAATGGTTGCATCGAAGCATTGCTGCTTGGCATTTACAACTTGGTAAGTGAGATGAGTGGGAATGGCTGAGGAAAGCTTTGATCTGAGGTTTTGCATCACTGACTACTAGCAATAAAGTAAATTATTGGAACAACATATTTAAAATTATAATACTTTCGCATGAAAGCATATTTAATCTGGAGAAAAGCATAATGTAATGAAGGTTTAGTAAGAACGTGTTTGCAAAAATATTTTTTATAGTAATCTTTTTAGTAATCTTTTTGGGACAAACATTTTAACTACAAATGATCATCTCATGGGCTTTCTTGAACTGTTATATACTTGTGTTTGTAAGGAAATTAAGTAGTCATCCTTAATGTTGAAAAATACAACTTTCTATGGAGATGATTGTCAGGCCAATATGCTTGGTCAATCTTTGTGTCAGTTCCTTCCCCTGCCTCCCCCTCCTTACTTTGAATATGTCTTTTTAAGGGTAATTTGAAGCTGAAACCACTCTGCATGCTAGAACTTAAATACATGCATGTGTACATTTGAGGGAGATGGTTGCCTTGAGTGGAACTGTGATTTAAGAATATGTAAATGTAGATTATTAAGTTTGGCTGCTGGATGTAAAAGTAGGTTTTTTATATCCTTACCTTAGCCTGGAAATGTTTACTCTTGTAATGTTATGAGGCTGTTTGATAAATTTAGCAATACTGCCAAGATAGGCAATCTCTAATGGGAATTTCTGTGTTCTAGGACTTTATGATACTGAAACATTGCCCTTCTTTCTACTATCAGAGTAAACCCCTCCTTTAAACTGTGTATTATGTTTCTATACATGATGAGACACAGAACAGTCAAACTGTGGTTCTTAAAAAAAAAAAAAAAAAAAAATCTTGTTATGTGTCTGTATACCAGCTCTAACAACTGGAAGATCCCGTTATTTTAGATTTATTCTGATAGAAAATAAACATTGGAAACTGCTTGTTGATTATTGGTACTGTTTGCTGGGTTGAAGTAGCATGCTTATCTTTGTTGACCATTTTCTCATAAAGGTCCTTTTGCAGTTCCTTTGAAAGTCATGTTGATGATTCATTTTTTTAGATGACAATAATTTCTTCATTCTCTCCAGAGAAGAAAGAGGCCTCAAAATGGACAGTGGCTCCCACTATTTTTTTTTTCTTTAAGTTGTTGATATTTTTCTGTACATATACTGAGACTGAAGGAGTGAAGTTATTTTCTCAATACTTAGAAAGTGAAAGACAAGGATAAATCTTTTGCATTCTTCTAAGTTCTATCAACTGTCCTCCCATTGTGATCCTTAAAGCCTACTACAAGTACTGTGCTACCTTGAACTAAGTTTTCACATAAACTGGAATAACTAGAGCTCATTGTTTGGAAATTTGCTGTAGAAAGCAGGATTTTAGACTCCTTTTTGGTATAGTCCTATGTTATTGCTCGTAGTATATTTGCTTTCAAAACTGCTGTGTTTGCTTATGTAGCAGCTTAGCAACTATGAAATCTGACCAGTTTGAAAGCCTTTTGAGAAAACATTCTGTGTATTTCTTACTGATAGAATGCCTGAAGAAACTTTGCCAGTCCCCTTGATTTCACCTTTTCTCTGTGGTGCATTTATTATGAAGTACTGCCCATTGTCAGCAAGTGACTCATCAGCCCTTATATGTCTGTATCTTTTGGGCTTTAAGTTTAACCTTGCTCCACTATGCAATTCTATTACAAATAAATGTTATAATGTAAAGGTGGGCTAGAAAAGCTTTTTATTCTGTTCTGTTTTTGATGAAGTCACACTGATCAAGGAGCCAATGCTGTGTTTTTACAAAACAGTCTGTGATAGAGGTCTTTCCCACTTCTTAAATATGTATATAAAGTTGCTGATACTCTGTAAATGCACAGAGACCTTGGGGTGTTAATAGTCTTATCAGATCAGGACATCTAACTTCTTATTTATTAAATGTCTTCTAAGAGTTGAAAATTATTCCAAGTCCTATCTCCTTACTTCTGTTTGGGTTTTGGTTTTGTTTTTTAATGCAGGAAATTGCTGACAAAGATGGAAACAACAAAGTTTTATCTTTCACCATCCCTTCGTTATCTAAACCCTCAATATATCATGAGGTAAGAGAGCTGCTGTGGTAAATCAGAATTGGATCTATTAGAGTATTGAAAACTGGATCCATTTGATGCAACGGGCCTTTTTTTAGATGCATCTTGTTGCAGTCAGTTTTCAATGTCAGTAGCTTGCAATTACTGTAATGGAATTTAATAGCATTAGTAGAAGAAAGGGAGTGTAAATGTTGAAAAACCTTTGCTGACAGTGCCCATTTTGAATGGAGGTTAGCTGTGTTGTAGTTGCAACTGTGTTTTTTTTGCCTCTTATGTGTTAGTATATAAGTAGCCTTCCTTCTTCTAACTCCTCCTTAATACAGTTTGAACTTGGAATCGTATTTTTGTTTCTCTACTGTTGCCGTACAAAAAGTCTATGCAATTAGGACAAACTTACTATAAATGGATATGTAAGAATCAAAGTTGAAAATTGCTCTCACCTAAGTGTGGAAGCTGTTTATAATAATGAAATTAGGTAATGGTTTTAGATTTACTGTATTCTGGAATAATCTTCATTTTTACAGATCACAAGACAAGTTTGTATTTTGGCTTGGGTGATTAGGAGTTTTAATGCTTTTGGGGACCTTTTACTTATGACTTGATTTCTCCCCCCTCCTTCCTTCCTCCTCCCACCACCTACTTCTAGCCCTCTACTATTGGATCCATGGCTTTAACTGAAGGAGCTCTATGTCAGCATGATCTCATCAGGGTAGTTTACAGTGATCTTCATCCTCAAAGAGAAACCTTCACAGCACAGAACCGGTAGGTGGATGTATTCTAACATAGAGGTGCTTCACTCGGCAGACAACGAGTCCTTAAACATTAAGACTGAATACGTTGTGTGTTCAGTCCTTTCTCAGCATTAAGTGCTTGGAAATTACCAAGATTGTTCTCTAGGTTTATCTTGAGGTATAGTATTTTTGTTGTTTGTTCCAACTTTGAATGTTCTTCTGCTAGTTAATTTAGAAGAGTAGCTTCTCTGTCATTTCTGTGTCTGCCAGGAATATCTTTGGGTTTATGTCTGTCAACTCAAATTTTCCTGGAAGTTCAACAAAATTCAGCTTTGGGTCTGAGGCTGTGACTGCTTTTTCCACAGAAAAAGGGGAATGGAGCTGAGTGGGTAGACAGAACTAGGGATGAGACAAATTTCCCTGCTGTGTTCTAGTGACTGCCAACTTTACCTGTGTCTAAAGCTAGTTCTGGGAAAACTGATAAAATAATTTTGAATGCATTGCAGACTCGTCTACTTTTATAACTTTGTCCAGTTCTGTAACTTTGTGCAAATATTATGCCATATGCAATTTCTTCCATAGTTCCTGTGTATGCTAATGGCTTTCAGTAATAATAATTTTAAGTGTTCAACACTGAACCTTTAATAGCCTGTTTCAAGTTAGTGAATTAGAATTAAAGAGGATTTAAGGATTTGTGTGTTTACTTCTGACACTTTTTCCTGTGGGGTATTTTTTGAGACTGAGTTGTAGAATTTTTGTGTTAACTTCTGATGAAATATTAAGAATTTAAACTATACAAGGTTTTGTTCTTGTCTCTTTTCAGGTTTGAGGTGCTGAGCTTTCTTATGCTGTGCTACAATTCTGCTATTGTCTATATGCCTGCCTCTTCTTACCAATCACTTTGTAGGATGGGTTCCAGGTGAGACACTTGCCTTTAAAATAGTCTTTCAGGGTGCATCTAGACTTCTAAATATTATTCCAGCAAAAGGAATTTACTTGTGGTGTTTAATAACTTAAAATATTTAACTCTTGGTCAGTCTTGCAACTTAATTGGAAATTTGAAGCTGTGCTTGCATACAGATAAAACACACGGATTATCTTACTACTGCATGGGCTTTCATTCTAGTTATGTAACTTTCTAGTTATTTGGAAAGAAAAAAAGCAATTTGGGGGGAAAATTAGTTGACGCTACTCAGACTGATTTGCATTTTTTGGATTTAAATATCTTTCAGACATTTTTCAGTGTGGTCAGTTTAAAAATCCTGTGAGGAATACCACCAGTTTCCTCTACTTCTAAATATTAATGTCTTGCTTCTGGGGATGGTTTATGTGAAGTGCTTGCACAATGTTCTGGGTTTTCATGGTTTGTTTGGGTTTTTCTTCGGTTTGGTATGGGTGGGTTGGGTTTTGGGTTTTTTTTTTTTCCCCCTGATAATAACATCCCAGTTTCTGGAGGATTCAGTACTGTGATTTCTCAAACTCTTACACATGCCCTCTATATAACCTTCTACTTGAATAGTCTTAGAAGCATCTGGTTGGTAAAGATTCTTGCTTTTTGTTCTGAAAAAATCTCAAGTATATCTGATATTCCCATATGTCTGTTTTTACCAGCTTTTTTGTCTAAAATGAGATAAATTCTCTCTCCTGCTATCCCCAAAGAGAGGAACCTCTGTAAATGTTTTTTGATTTAGCTTGTTTGCTTCAGCACAATGCTGCCATGAAAGAAAAGCATTACATGCAATTCAGCTATGTAGCAAAGAAGGATCAGACTAGCTTCTAATAACATATATTCTGTAGTAACGCACACGTGCAGTTAAGATTATAGCCTGTTTTCTTTCCTGTGATTTCTGATGGGAATGGGTTAATTCTTGGTATGCTTCTGTCACCTTCACTTGAGTTGTGGCTATGCTAAATTTGGTGAATATGTTGAATTTTCCTGCATCCGAAAATTAGATCCTTTCTTTGGGTGGAGAAGAGAGACAACATTTTATAGGCTAGGGATTTTTTCATTGTTTTTGAAACAGTGCAGCAGTTATTATATATTAGTGGCCATGTGTTGCTTTCATGATGAAGATTCAGATATTAAATATATAAATAAATTATTCTGTTTTACAGACACTGGGTGCTATGCAGTATATGGGAAGGCAGGTACTTTTTCAAGGGTCAGGAGTATTTTTTTAGAAGGCAGCTGAGAGCAATTCTCAAGAATACAGTATCTGTGTTACCCAAATTTAGGTAAAAGGTGATTGCATGCTGTCATCATACATTAGATGGGAGGTGACGTATTTCTTTTCTATAACAATGAAATGTTTCCTTTAAAGAAAGTTGGTTTCGGTTACTGAATTTTGGGGAGGGTCTCCTACTTGGTGGCTGGCAGTAGAGAATATCTTGCTACCCTCATTCTTCAGAAGGTGGTTATGATTTGAAGAAAACAGATGGAGTTAATGGCTATATGGGAATAACACTGGATTATCAGCAAGCCACATCCCAAGGCACTGTTATAAAACTACTTTAATGGTTGGGAGAGCAACATAAGAATGTTATATGTTGTGTACTTAGATTTTGAAAAATAAATTTTAAAAATTAACTAAAATGGCTGTGATGTAAAGATATTTGTAGTCTTTGTGGAATTAACATTTTGTTACAATGGTGTGTTTTTGCAGGCTGTGTGTGAGCGGATTTCCACGGCAGCATGAGAAACGCTGGAAGGAACACTGTGGTAGAGTGGTGTTAGACCCTGACTTCATGGTGCAGCTGCTCACAGGTGTCTATTATGCCATGTAAGTGGATGGGTTTTTTTATATAAAGAGAAATGTTTGGTTTTACATGAATTGAACTAAAAATATAAATGCTGTTGCTTTATGATTGAAAAAAATAGTTAAACTCGTAACACAAGTTTATAACTTGATTAGGGTATTTCCCATTACTTGCTCGCTCAGCTAACTGATAATTTGAAAATGTCTTTGTCAGCGTTGAATTAGGTGGCCAGCAATAGGTGCTGAAGAGAGTTAGGCTTCTGGCTTCATCTTTTCCCAAGTTTCCACTACCACCAGATACCTTCTGTTCACAAGCATAATGAGCTTGGATGCCAAGATAACCTGATGAAATGCAGACCTCTTGAATGTCAATAGCTTCTGAGGTAGCAAAAATACATTTCTGATGGAAATTCAGTTCCGCTAAGTAGCGTTAAACTTTACATCTTGACACCCCCCCCTTTTTTTTTTTTATTCTTTAAGTTTGTCCTGATTATGGCATCAACTTTGTCTTGCTTGGAGGCGATAGGGTGCAGCTTTTTTGTTACACCAACAAGATAAAAAAATGCTTTGCCTATACTTTTTAAAAGAAGTGAAGGGGCTGGAGTGTACATAAGCAGAGGTGAAGAGCTGGATTTGGGCAGAAAAAAGACAAGTTTGAGTTCATAAGATATGAAAGATAAATATCTTTCTTTACTTTTTAGATATAATGGTCAGTGGGATCTTGGCCAGGAGGTATTAGAGGACATAATTTACAGAGCACAGCTTGAACTCTACTCACAGCCTCTGCTGGTAAGAAACAATCTATTGCAATGTATGGGCTTGGTTAACAGGAGTATGGATGTGTTTCCAAAGTTGACTGGTAATGAAAGCATTTGCGGCCATTTACTGCACTCCCAAATGCAAGTGGTTATTAACAGTTGGTGTTTTCAACATAGCTATTTATACTATGCTTTTTCTGCTTGAGTATTAAGCTAGGGTGTTGGGATCTCCTAGGACTCATTGATGCTGAAAGCTAGGATTTTCTAATGTATTACAGTTGGATCAAAATGTTTATGTTGTTTTGGCATAAGCTACTGCTGAGTGATTTAAAGAAGCTTAACCGAATGATTATATGTCATAGGACATTGGTTGCAAAAAAGGTGTTTGCTTCTAGACCTTCAGTGGGGCTGAGAACATGCTGTGTGGTTTAACTGGTAACACAGTGGAAAAAGCAACAACAGGATAGAGCTGGAAGTGAAAAGGAGCTTCATCTCCAGAGTCAATGTCAGATTTTGATTGATCAAAGTCAGTCAGGTCTTAATCTTTACCTTCTTTGGAGGAGCAGCAATAGAATGGAATTAATTCTGATTTTGGGTTTTGTTTTTTTTTTCAGTCTCCACTATACTTGCTGTTTCGATTATAAAAAGAGAGAAATTAAATGGGGAAAGTGGTGAAACTGGGCTGGATGCAGGTGGATCTGTTTGGGAAGGATGAGGAGGTTGACAGAGAGAAAGGAAGAATGGAGGGATTTTATTTTTTGTCAGATATAGGAATGAGGATCAAAATAAGAGGGAAAATGAAGGAGAATAAAGTAAAATAGACTACTGTCTCCGTTTCTGCATCAGAATTGTGGCTAGAAGCCTTTAGTGCTCCTCTGAACTAACAGCAGTAAAATTTTACTGCTTTTTACATAATTGAGAAAGGAGTAGATTGGGACAAATCTTTTTGTGTGGCAATCTGAGATCCCCCTCTTCTGCAATAAATTACGTAAAATTCTCTTGATTAATTAATACTGGCTGTAAAATTTATCTACAGGCTTTCTGACACTGCTGCATTTTAAATGCTTGGTATCCATTGAATTATTATAATAGTTGGTTCCTTTTGGAAATGACTCATCGCTCCATCAGATTGAAAGTTTTAAATTAAATATTGAACTTGCTGAATTGGGCCGCCCTATCAAACCACTACATTTAAAAGGTGTGTAGGAGGATCTGGAACTTGATGATATGACAATTTTCAGTCCTTATTGTTCATTTTTAATCAGTTTGTCCCTAAAGATTACTTCTAATTGTTCTAATCTTCTAGAATGTCTTCGGGTTTTTCCAAAGCTACAATTGCCTCTGCATCCCATTGTCTGGTGTCAGTAATGTCATGACATCACCAATTTTTCCCCTTTCCCCACCTGTCAGGTTTTTCATGCATATGTGTGCAGGCACATCTGTGGGGTTTTCTTCTTAATATTCTGATCATTGCCTTGATTCCTATCTTGTTTTACTGCAATTTTTTTAAAAGCAGCTTTAAAAAATTGTCAGTTTTATTAAAAAATGACCTGCATGTCCTTGTCCTCATGCTGTATGTTCAAGCGACTTGACTTTTTCAAAGGTTGGAGTCTTTTCACCTCATTGCATTCTCCAGGAGATGTATATAATTTAGCAGCATTATAAAATTTTGTATTTTAAACTTAAAACTACTGGCACCAAATAAAATATCTGTGCAGCATCCTAGATAAGTTTCAAGTTCAGCGTCTACCTAGGATTTCCTAACAGCAGCAAATTCTTTGAAGTCCATTTAATATTCAGGCAAACCCCCAAGTTAGGATTATTTTTAGATATCTGTACATAAGCTACGTGTATAATTATGGGAATGCCATCAGTCATCATTACAATGAGAAACATCATGGTCCCTGTATTTGGGTATGTCTCTTGGAGAAATATTTTTGACAGTATAGCAGATCCATGCTCTTATTTAAATAGGTTGATATTGCCTGTGGACTTTAAAAAAAAACCAAAAAAACAAAAAAACCCAACCAAACAAAAAACCAACAAAAACCCCAAAAAACCCCCGAAGTAGAAGCATCAGAAAGCTATGTAATACCTATGTAATGTTGATGCGGTGGTCTTTCACTGTTATCCAGAGACTGCTCTGGAAAGGGCAGGAAGTAATGCAAGGGGAAAGCTTTTTCTGGGAAAAGAAAAGTATCTCTGGACCTGGGGAGTAGCTCAGTTCCAGTCAGTCAGTCTTTTCCTCTGAACACAAAGAGTTCTGCACTTGTTTCAGACAAATCCCTGTCTTCAGTGCAGGGACGCACAGGCTTTCTTAGCTTGGTACACAAGAAGCGTGGATCAGCAAGTCCCTATTGTGACAGCATCATTACCCAGTGTATTTTGTTGATGGTACTTACTGCTTTTGTTGGATGTTCTTTTTGTTAGACCTCCTTTCTGGTAGGCAAGAGTGGATGTCTGGCCTTAAACGAGCCCTCCTTTGTCATTGATAGTTGAAAACTTGGCTTGCCAAGTCTGAATTATGCTGTTTGTTTTCCTGCCTTTCAGTGCTGGATTAGACATAGTAAGCAAGTTTTTTTGCATTCCAAAGGATCGCAGTTTTGGGTTTTTTTCTGTTAGAGGAGGGCTGTGACTCATTCAAACTGGTTGTTCAGGCTGTTTCAAAGTTTTACTGTTGCATTGATTTTTACCTTCATATGGTTCTCCTCAGTCCCCAGAAGTACAATTTGTGCTGTTAGAAGGGGCCAGCTGTTAAAAGCTTCAACAAGCGGAAGTGCTCTGTCTGTCACTTTTCTGGTCTTGTTGCAGAAGCTCTTTGCTACTGATTTTTAGATTTTAATCCTGTATACTGAGAAGGGTACCTATTCAAAAGAGGGCACAACTCCAGTGAATAGGAGACGGGAAGGCAAACCATTGTATACTGTTGAACTTGACCTGCTTTGGTTCAGTACAGCAGAAATGAGTTTCTGAAGTCTTTAATGTCATCAAGGATAGGGTGAATACAGTTTGTACCATTTCAAGAGGATGGTGTGGAAAAAGGCCTATGTGTGAATAGGAGAGCGGTTCACAAACAATTGTTGAGGCTGAGAGAATTAGCTAGCAAAGGGCAATGTTGGACAAGTGGAAGGCAGAATGATAAGCGTTTCTGTGATGGTGCCAATAATCTTTTCTGCTGGTTAAAAGTCAGACAGGAAGGCAGTGGAGAAGATGTTTAGTGGGGAGTTACAGGATCACAACAGCAGCTGGAGATCAGGATATGACACCCATTCTGGCCCACCAGGAAGTGAAAAGTCTTTGATTTGGTTAATATTCTGTGATCTGTGCTTTACTGTCTGAAACAGTTTCATTTCTTCTCATGATTGCTGGATGGTTTGCCTGTTATAACTTGTAGGAAAGTCACTTTTACTTTATTATAGTGTGAATAAACACCCTTACTTCACGGAGCTTTTATGGTATGCCATATGAATTGATATAGTCTTTTTATCAAACTTTATCTGAGACCTTCACAAGACAAATAATACAAAGTTCTGCCAATAGGGGCTGTTCCAGTGGTTTAGTAGATTTCTTGTAGTTTGTGTTTTGGCAAATGCTAACAAAAGACAACTTAAGCAGATTTGGTGTGTGTGGGCTTTGGGAGTTGAAGGAATTTGTTGGATGTCACTTACATTTCCAAGGCCTCAGGCAACCTCAGAATATCAAGACAACATTGATGACATTTAAAAGTGCATTAATTTTGTCACTAGCTTGAGGTGAACATATGAAAATGTTGCTTACAACATAAAACTAGGAAATGCTTGATTGTAGTAATGTGCTAAACAGTTGATACTACTCCATCAGCTAGCCACAAGTCTTTATACAGTAAACAAAATGCCTGTTCTTAGAAAAATAATATGGTCTAAAAGGAAGAAAAATGTATGTATGCATTGCCAGAAAAGTGGAGTATCTTGCAAAGATGCATATTCTACATTAGATCTGTATTTCATTTGAGTGGACAGAACAGTCAGCCTTATAGTTTTATCTGTGTCTTAAAATAGGTTATATGTGCCTTTGCCGTAAGCTAACAAGTAGACTACATGTTTCCCTTGCCATATAGGGAACTGTTCTCTCAAGTTGCAAAATCAATTTATTTTGTGATACAAGAGAAAATCCATTGGGAGGCTACATAAAGCTGCTTTTCATAATGCTTCTTGTAAACTGTAGTGGAGAGAATAGCTTGCCCAGATAATGGTGGGAGTTGTTGCTAAGTAGGATTTTGTAGAGATGAGCAAGTTACATCTTCCACAGTTGTTTTATTTTAAGTCTAACTGTTTCTGACCCTCTTTATCTTCTGTCTTCATTAGAGAGGAAGTAAAGAGCATGTAGGAAGTCAGATGTCAGTGAAGCATAAGAGGTCTATGAATGAAGTTGTGATGTTAAGTTTAAAATGTGTCTAATATTTTTATTGCTGGTTGGTTGTATAAAGTCAATAAGATTTTGGAAAATCAAGGTGTGTTCACTTTGGGTTTGTTTTTTGGGGGGTGTGGGGCGTTTTGTTTTGGTTTCTTTTTATTTATTTATTTATTTATTTATATTTTAAATTGCATTTTATGTGCAGCAACTTTGTTGTTGAACACTGCACATGCCATAGAGACCCAGCTTGCTCTTCAAGAGTTGGTACACAAGTTCACTTTTTGAACAATTTACTTATAAACTAGGAAATATTAACTGAAAGTTGCTCTTTTTTTTATTTTGTAAAGTAAACCTCTAATGCCACAAAGGCATTTTATGGGAAATTCAAAGAAGCAGTTAAAGCATCAAAGCCAAAAGAGGTCATTTGTTCTCTTCAAAGCTGCAAAACAAAACTTCTGACTTGATAATAGGCTATCACAATAAAAAATTAGATCTAGTAACGATTAATGCATTTTAATGATTTGATGCTCATTGCTTAGGTTGCAATTTTTTTAAAAAAATCTTGCAGGTACCCGCAGTCTAATCCCCTTGGTTAGGTTTTGGGGATTTTATTTTTTTTTTTTTTTTTTTGCGGGGGATGGGGGGTGGGGTGGTGGTTATGGGTTAGGGGAGGTGGAAACTGGCCCTGTCTCCACCATGCACAAGGTCATATGCTGTTTGCATTGGCTTGGCTTGTGACCTAGTTTTATGACATTCTTATCATAAAACATAAATGGTATTTTCCTTGTCATTTTGCAGTCTGTTTTGGATGGAGACCTTCCTATGTAGGTTGGTACCTCTGTCAGTACAGGTGGCAAATGTGGAACAAAATAAATTACCTTAAAAAAATGGAGAAAAATCAGCTATATTTTTGGGAATACGTTTGTGATGAGCTTTTCAACGTAGTTAAAAACTGAATCTTGGGGATGGGATCTGGCATAATTAACAAATCTTGGTTGTTTCCATTTCCGTATCCAGCAAGAGATATAATTTTGCCATTAGTGCAGTCTAGGACAGCAGTAGTACAGCATTTTACTTTTATCTTAGGTTGCAAATGCCATGAAGAACTCACTGCCCTTTGATGCTCCTGATGCATCGCAAGAAGGCCAGAAGGTACTGAAGGTAGAAGTTACTCCAACAGTGCCGAGGATTTCTCGGACTGCTATTACAACAGCTTCTATCCGTCGTCATCGCTGGAGGAGAGAAGGTGAGCTTTCTCTGCCAAGAGCAAATACTGTGGTGTACTGTATTCATCATCATCACTGTAATCTGGCTTCTGAGTTTGAATGTTTGCAGAACAGTTGGTTGGGTTTCGTTTGTTTGTTTGTTTTTTGAGAAGTGATACCCCAAAACAACATATAGTATTTTACATCTTCAGAGCACTGCATGAACATGAACATTTGGGGTGTTTTGTTTTGTTTTTGACTTGGTGATAACCCATGAGGTAGGTGAGAAAATGGAGGAGCTGGAAAATGTTCAGTAAGACTTCTTTTTTTTTCTCTCCATGTAACATAGCGTAAATTTGTAGGGGTAGAGTTTGGCTTAGGATTTGAGTTCTTTCTTTAATCCACACTAAAACTCAACTGCCTCCCATCATAAATAGTTCAGGGAATGAATGGTATTATCCTGACCTTGATAGGGTTCCAGCTACCTAAAGCTACTGAAGGCAGTGGGAGAGGGAAAGGCTGAACATCACACTCCTACCATCATATGGCCCAATTTAGAGAGGGGCCATGTCATAAAATACCTTTGGATAGCTTAAAATTAGTCCTTACTTTTCCTCAGTGAGTACTTATGCTGTATGGAAGTGTGCTTGACTGTATGAAGAAAAAAAATAAGTATGTGGTAATATTTACCTTGATATGATGACATCTTCAGTGTAGGCATAGCAAAAAGCTTGCTTTGAAATCACTTTGTCATACTTATAAAGCTTTGTTGCTGCATGTATAAAACATGGATTAAAAAAAGCTGCATAAATGGCTGAAGGTAAAAAAAGTAGAATAACCTAAAAATAAACTGAGGATAAAAGAATCTGAAAACAAGGATTACATATTTTCCTGTGGTACTCGTTCTTTTTTCTTTCTCCTGTATCATGTGCAAAAGGATTTGATGACCTCTGGTCTTCAGCTGAATGAGGATGTCCAGGACAACAAGTAGCTGTCTTCTGTTTTCAGGACTCTGGGTCATGTTTGTCTTCACTGTAGTTGCCATTATATATTCATTTGCTAGTCTCTGATCTATAGTATAGCCCACCTGTCCCTTTCTGTGGATGTTCTCACAACTTTTAACTAAGCATGGGTAGTGTTTTGTGTTTGTTCCATGTCCTCATAAATCTTCTATTTTCCCTGCCTGGGTTGGAATGCCAAGAAAGGAATAGAAAAGCACTAAAATGTTATATGTTGAATCCCAGATGGCTTTGACTTCTCAAACGAGGCTGACTCAAGCATACCTGGCTCACCGATCCAACACGGCTCCACAGACCTAGGGATCAAACGTGAGCAAGAGGGGGAGGTGCTGATGCGCAGGACCCCTGAGCATGGCTTCCCGGAGCCCACCTTGGCAGCAGCCACAACAGAGGGTAGGACAGAGATGAGGAGGCAGAAGTCAGTGAGGCAGTTGCTGGAGGAGGATCCTGGCTCCCTATCCCCAAGCAGAACTTCTTTCCATTCTAGTGTGTGTTTCCGCTATCCCAGGGTGTATTAGCTTCTCTTTGCAATACACGCATCCCCTATATACCTAACATCAGGTCAGGTACTACCTTTTGTTATCACGTGGGCTGGCCTGGGGCTTGCATCTGTGTGGTGAAAGACTGCTTGGCATGGCAAAAAAAGCAAAAAAAACCCCAACCAAAAACAGGGGTAATAGCCAAGAGCTTTGGGATTGCTTGGAAACTTTCTATTACTGAGCATGTTTAATCTAACATTCAGAAGGAAAAAATGCACCAGGTGAACATGAATCTAGTCCTGAAAAGTAGACAGTATAGGGTATAAATGGGTTTGGCTACAACTTAGTTACAACAGTGTGCTGTTAGTCTGCAGTTTTTAAATTCCTAAGAACAAAGTTTCCTGTTCCTGTGAAAAGTCAAGCCTATCCAAGACTGATATATAACCGCTGATGTTTTTGTTTGCCAGTCATCCTTTAATTGAAAATTCATACGTGTACAACTCGTTTACATGAATGAGCTGGCTGCTCTGAAGACAAGTACCAAAAAAGCGCTTGTGTTTTCAAGAAGAAATCAGGTTGTCATGTTTCTAAAAACTTAAGAAACTGTTACTGCTTTCTTCCTCAGTTATGCTGTCCATGCAAATGCCGTAGGACTTCATGTGTCTGCTCTGCAGCCAAGAATAGCAGATAGAATAGCTGGTAGAAATTTATATTGTTTAAATTCATCTATTAATTTTTTCATCTTTATGCCATAAAAGATGTGGTTTTGAGTTCTGAATTTGAATCATGATTTCTCCTCAGAGGTGAGAATTAATTTCTTGTAAATTTAGCTAAAGATATTTTCAGGTGTTCTCCTATCTTAAGTCTTCTATCTGAACATTCCTTCGGTATTTCCAGCCTCTATAAGCATATCAGTTGATCATAAATGAGATTTATTTGCACATTTGGATATGAGCTACATAGGTTTCAGTTTTGTTCTTCTGGAAACAATAATCTGGAGAGTTTGGAGATTTAATGTAGTGTTACCACACAATCCCTACCCTTACTGAGAGTTGCTGTCAAACAGTAATTAAGGCATCATGCTTTTATAAAAGATAGTGGCATAAAAATATTTACTGCGGGTTTATAATCTACTCCTTGGTGCATAGTGAATTTGAGCATGCTCAGTAAATGAGTCCTGTCTTCTCCTAAATTCACCTGTTCACTTGGTCTTACTCCATTTTACTAAACTTTGCATGTGCATGACCTGAAGGATATGGAGAAGTCCTCAGCTGCAGAGAACCTTCTGAGAGAGACAGGAAGTGGGAAAGAAGTTGATAAAGATGTTGCCTTCTAGTCTTAATTTGTTTCAAGACATCTATATAATTTGGCATGTTCTTGGATAAGGCATCATTCCACATGCTTTACTTCAATAGAAGGATTGAATACCCTTTATGTCTGTAACATTAGCAATGTGTAATTACATGCTTAGGCAAACTGAATTCTGCCAGTTGATAGCATCTGGGAGAAGGCCAAGGAATGGAGTTTGGCTTGATTATCAGTATAGAATTGTGTGTGTATATATAGTGGTCTATTATTTTACTGATGCTGATTTCACAGAATGTTTCAGCTAGCAAATTCTGTCTTATAAATATAATTTTGATATCAAACAGTATAATGAGAGACTGATCATTTCTAGTGACTTTTCAACCTTCAGGTATGGGAAGGATAAATAGAGTAAAAGTCACTTTAAAAAGCTGTGTAAAACCCCTCCTTCAGATCAGTGTTTTGACCTAGTAAATAGAAAAAGGGAGAAGATTTAAGAATGATTCACTAATGCCTTACAAGGTATTCCACTTCTGGCTGGTAGCAGCTGTGGTTGTGTGCACTATTTTGGGTCAGTGGAGAATGGTGTATCTACATCTACAGGATTAATTATGTACAGGCATAAATAACGAATTCTTTGGGGACAGACTTTTTCTGATAAGGAACAGCGAGAGTCCTGAATATGCGTTGTAGTACAACTGATATGATTTCTGTCACGTTGCACTGTCTCTGTCTCTTCTGGCCTTACAGTAGAAGAGTGCTTGGGAGGAGTAGGTGTTTAGTTTTTGTCTTCTTTTTTAATTGCCTTACTGGTCCATTGGGGGCGGGGGGGAAGGAGAAAACTGTGTGACTTCATCCTGTTTTTCCCCCCAAACAGAGTATTTAAGGACTCAAACATTTTTGATTGTTTCTGAGGGCAGTTTTTAGAGGAAAAATAACATGTAATGGGAAAAGAATGTGTTTGCTGAATTACTTCAATCCCACTGAGAACTTCTGTAGGTATATGAATCTGACTAGACAGAAATTCTCTTGCATGTTGTCTTCTCTATCTTCTTCATTTTTGAGCGCTGCTGAGCTGCTTGGGCCTCTGTATAGTTGCAGCATCCAAAAGCTTGCAACAACCCCTCTCAGTCTTGTCTTTAAAGTCTGTGGATAAAATGCCACTTTTCCAGCGTGACTCTTCGGCTTTGCTGTCCCTGAATAGGAATGTCTGGTTTAGCATCCCATTACTCAGCAATGTTTTAACATGAACTTTGAAGATGACTAATGTTCTTGTAATAATAAAAAGATACCTTCTTGGAAGTTATGCATCTTTCATTTGAATTAGAAGGGCTTGAGAGGGGACTTCAGCTGCTGCTATTGCTGCTTGTAACCAAACACGCTTTCATCCAGCTTTGCATGATTATATAAAGAAACATAAATGTTTGTTTATTGAAAAAGTGCTCTTGCTTTCAGTATGTTCCAGTTATGTCATATTTTTACTAGCATCTTTGATTATGTGTGGGAAGGTTGCGGGGGGGAATGGAATTGTGGTGGATTGTGAATAAAATACATCACTGTCTGATGTAAGAAAATACACTTGTGTCTCAGTAAGAAGATGAAGGCCTAGTTTGTCCAAACGGGATGGGCAGAGTGGGGGAAACTATGTATTTTAAATACGGTTACAGGAAGTTAAAGCAAGTAATGCACCCTTCATTTTAATAATAGCTATTGAAACCTAAGAAGCTTTGTTTTCTAAGGCTAAAGACTTTACCAAGGAAGGAAGACTGCAGTAGCATGAACTGTATTATCCTTCTGCATGTGGGAGACTAAAGAGTGAAATAGAGCTTTATAAAACTACAGAATAATCTCGCATCACATTGTTCTGAGAGAGGCCTGAGAATGGTCTGATTTAGAGATGGCTAAACATCTTTTGTAAGCTGATACATAGTAATGGTAATTCCAAGGCAGAGTTTCCTGAAAAGAAGTAAGTTTAAAACAGAATAATAAAACCTCCCTGTAAAGTTTTCTTTTTGCTTTACACTTCAGAAATGTGAAGTTGGATCAGGCTATATTCCTGCTATGCAGAGGCAGCAACAACACTGAAAGCTTTGTGTCTGTTTTGCTTGCCATAATGTAAAATATTCCTTAGTGCTTTGCTAACAATCAGCATGAAAGGATGAGCTTTCACTCAAATGTTAGAATCTCTTAGATCCTTGCCACTACTTTTTCCCCATTCCACAAAAGAGATTTAAACATGTTTGCTTGGTGGCAGGCTGGGTTGAACAAACTGCCAGTAGAGCAGTACAGTGGCTATCTGGGACAGATCTGTAGGCTTTGCAGATTTCTCGCAAATAATCAGGTTCCACAGCTTTTATAAAGAAAAGCAAAATTCTTACAGCCTGAATGTCTCCTTTTTTTGTTAACATGGCTAAACTTCATGGCTTTTTCCCAATGAAACAAGATATATGGAGCAAAAACTCAAGCTCCATTTTCAGTTTTGAAATTTGAATGCTGTTCAGTTTTCTACTGAAACAGTAACTCTTCTTTTGAGTACTTGGAGCTTAGAAGAAGGACTGGAATAAGATCTAAAAAGAAAAAAAGGTCTTTGTGTGCAGTTCTAATCGTATTATAGGCCTGAAAACAAGGATTTAAGAAAAAAGTTTGTCAGGCTTTTTTTTTATCTTTGAGATTCCAGTCAAAAGCACAATGCCTCTTCTACAATATGAAGTGTTTCAGAGGTTAAATTTCTCTTAATACAAGGGTTGGGTTTTTTTCTCTGAAAAATTTAGATGCTGAGATAAAAGCAAATATGATGGAAGTACCTAGATAGGATTGGTGGAAATGCAGGAGGGATTGAGCTCTGGAGGAGAGAACTAGGAATTAGGTTAATTTCCAGCAAAGTATAGTTGCATTGTTTGAAGTACCAGCTACACACAGCAGAAGCCTTCTACCTCTGTTGAAGCATTGTGATTGCTGGCCTAGGAAGTAGCCTAATTATGAAGCTTGCTGAGCACTTGCCAGAACTTATTCTGACTGGAAGAGATCCTGAACATGCTTACATCTTGCCTCAAAATAGGATAAAAATAGTCTGAAAGGTGCTTTCCACCCCCCCCCCCCCCCCCCCCCCCCACCCCACC